CAAAAAGAAACAGATCATTATAAGCTTTTAGCGGGAAATAGATTGGATGAAAGCATGCTCAATGTACGATTGCTTTGTTGCAAGCTGATTGGATAGGAATTAGCCAATCAGCGCTAATCGATACTTGGAGAACACTCAAGAATCTTCTCATGTAAAAACTATGATTATACTATCGTATCTCTTATTGTGCTTCTTACTTCCATCTAACCTTGTTAGTATGAATATAATCTCTTTCTTGTTTAACCGTGTTCTGATTTGGGGACTTTTCGAGAATACTAAGCAATAGAAATAGCTGGGTTCTAATAAGAAAGAATTATAACATAATCAGAGATAGATGATGAGAAGTAGTGGAATCCAGGACACGTCCCATTTGGGACTCATCAGTTGGATGTACCTACATCTCATACATGATGTCCACTCTGGGACTTGAACTGAGAATCGTTCGCCTCAAACGCCATTAAGTTATCCACTCAGCTACTGAACCCAGATAGTTACTAGCTTGTTCAGTGAAGTGAAGTATTAATTCATTTCTGCATTGGTTGTTTGAGAAACTGATCAATGGCAGTTCTAAATATCAATGGAAAGATTCAAACAACCAATACAAAAATGAATATAGACAGATCACTTTCCAGAGAAATCATTTACAATGTCATAATAATAGTTTGTAATGTAGTTTGATAGCAGTGATCTTAATTTCTTAAATATAACAACAGAAGGATTAAGATAATGAGAATGTACAAACGTCTTATAGAATATTTAAAAATAGTAGAATACATGAGCGAACAGTTGTCTGAGGATCATTTCTTTTTCAAATCCTCAGATATTCTTGTTTCATTTCCTCACCGTTTTTTCTCTTTCAAGCTCTGATCATCATACAGAGGGCAGGTAGCAAACCGTCAGCTATAGTTGTGTAAGAAATTAAATGCCACAAAGTTAGATAACAAGTAGTTAAATGAAGAGACATTCATGGACTATCGTTGATTGCTGACGAAGTTAGTCGTCATCTATTGGAAGTCAAACACTGTGCGAGTTGGTAATTCTCCCTTAGGTTGTGAAAACAGAACGTAGGTGTTCTTAATAGATAGGTTAATTGAACCGACGTTCCTACGGAAGTCAATTTTATAGGGTAGTTAATGTAACAGCCTAGGTTGATTGGTTAAGAGTTGACATCAAGCAATTAAGTATATGTCAAAACACTAGAGTTTAAGTGTTCATTCACTTCCTAAACATAAATCATGATTAGGAACTCAATAATTAGTCAAGAATCCCTTGTCAAATCTTTGATTAATTTTTGAAGTAACAGATTTTAAGTAAAGTTTGAACTATGGAACATGTTTTTCGTTCTTTTCATTATATGATATTTTGGTAGTATGTAACTTAGATTCTATGCAAAAATGGAATATAATTCATTTGGTTTCCATGGAAAGTAGAATTACTTTTAAATCATGATATTTATATCGAATCTTCCAGATTTTTAACTTCTGGCACTTAAAATAAAAATTGTTGTCTTTATTACAAGTCCTTTACCGTTGGAAATTATGGGGAGGGAGCAGGACAAAACACCTAGCCTCTATTGCATGGTTTCCAACAGTTGTTTTAAGAATAATATTAGTTTATATGAAAATGTCGTTGAATTAAACTATCATCAAGTAATTTATAATAAGTTCAATATCAAGGTTAAACGATTCTGAACGTACTCATTAGAAAGCAACACAAAAATTATATAAAAATCTTTTCAGAATCAGTTAATTAACATAGTAGCAATAAACAGTGTATTGCATCAATGACAATACCTGCTTCGGTTTAGGCACGCGGGCAGTATCTCAACCCTCACATAAATCAGATGATTTATGTGGCGCATATCTATTCGGTGCCTCCTTATGCCAATGTAAAATATCCATATAAGTAGTATATAATGATAGTCAGGAACAGAATGTGTGGTGGGCTACCTATATTGACATAAGTAATAGATGATGTTAATCGTGAACAGAATGTCTAGCAGCAGAAAGACAAGATGATCGAACAGTAAAGAATGGAAACAGAATGCGATTTGTATGAAAATGTCATTTTGAGACAATTGATGGACATTTTGCATATTACGTATTTACTATTTGATTGTTAGATTTTATTAACCAGTCCTGTAATTGTGTTTTTAATACATTCGATTGTCCCCACCCATGTTCTTATTCACTACAAATTTACTTCAGTAGAAGATCGAGAAGGAAAGAACGGGAAAGAAAAGTAATTGGTATAAAAATGCAGGAACAATAAAACCTGAAACGATGTATTAATATTTGCAAAAGAAACAGTCAAGTTTAAGACAATGGATTGAGATTTTGCAAATGAAGTATTTACTGTATTGTTCTCAGATTTCAATAAGACATTCTGTAATTTTGTGCTCAAATACATTCGATTATCCCCACTTGTGTTCTTGTTCACTACAGTATTTATATATTGATCCGTGGAACCTTCTAGTATGAGATTAATCATAAATGGTATGAAACAGCGACTAATTTGTAAGTAGTCAGTTGTTTTATGTTATATGTACATAGAAATGTACTAAGCTTAAAAAACAAGGCATATTCATGAGATTCAACTGATGGTTATGCACAACAATTGATATTCATAACTCACTAAGTCATAATAAATAGATTCGTATTAAAATCTAAGTTAACGACGATCATTTCAAGAACTATTCGTGGAAGAATTAACTTTAATATACTTCCGAATCTCCCTATTTTAAATTCAGCAATATGAAAATATATCGTTGCGTAAAAAAGGTTTTGACAGATATTTATTATAAATGATTTTGAAGAAAAAACAAATCTCTTTATATTTTTGTGACTTATCATTATCACAAGGGGTTTCGTGGATATTATAGTAATTTTAATAGGTCAGATCATGAGTTAATTGAAGCTAGACCACCCTGGAAGCAGTGGACGGCCATTTTGTCCTATTGTGAGAATCTTTAGCAGTGCTTATCCACGATCCTCCCTCACGAGGTCCGAACCCAGTACCTAACAGTCTCGCACGCGTGTGCCTAACGATTGGACTATTGAGCCAGTATCCAACGGTGTTAATGTCTAACTTCAACTAATCCATGAAACTGATTGATAATTTTATTCATCAAAAGTTTAAAGACAAGATTATCCTATTGGTTCCATGCATAAGCTCATAAAAAGATTTTCTGTGCCCCTACTGTTTCATTGCGTATTCTCTTGAAATTTATATGCTTAAGAAGGGTTGTCCAATTGATATTGAGTGCTTTCAGTGTGGATTAGCAAACTGTGAGAAAGCATACAAGGGGACCTTCAGTAAATTATTTTGTGTAGGTCTAAAGTAAACAATATATGTTCAACAAATCCTTTACCCCTATGAATGAGAGAAACAGGAGAATTATTCGATAGCATCGTGATACTCCTAAACGTAAAAACATGGGGTTGTGCTGAAAATGCACTAAGAAAAGTTAGTTTTTTTAATATTATCTGACTCCATAGAAAACGGATACCTAAAATGTTGGTGACAGTACTGTTGAAAATCCCTACTTACGCAGCGACCCCAAAGCAAATGAAATCACAAATCTAGAATGACAGGATTCAAAGGTATATTTGAATAATAGGTGACTGTAGCGTACTGTATGCAGTCTAAAACAGGGTCATCCTACTGATTCCATATATAAGTGCATAAAATACACTGTCTTCACCGTAGCTACATGTCTCAGCTATGTACATATCACTCATGAAACGCAATCATAATAACCTATCATAATAGATATTGGCAGGAAATAGTTTTTGATCGAAACATTTTATTTTTTGAACAATTAAGAATACAAAGTTTATAGTATCCAAACCCATGTTTTACATGAAATGAAACTTACCTAATTCAGCTGTACTCATTACTTACTACCTAAACAAAAATGATGATCATTTAACGGGATAATTTAGAAATGTCTATTCGAAAATGGTTTATTTACATCCTTTTAATATAATGAAGTTGATTTCGTAACAGTTCAGTCCGAAATCTGATACTGATACACAACGTGCTACCACACTAACCTCCTACCTCACTACTTGAATGAGAACACAAGAGTGAGAGAGAAAGTATATTGGATTATTAAATAAAATGCACAAATACTCATTTATATATACACAACTCTACTATTTAAGAAATCAATCCACTTTTTTAACCAATTAAGTGCACTTGTCCTTCAGGTCATTTCTGATTGTCAACGATTGACTATCTCAATCGTCTACTTCTGATCAAATCACCATATCATTTTAGATGAACAGCAGTTCAGCATAAAATGAACCACACTCAAAGTGAAAAGGCAGTTAATTTATCGACCACAATAAATGGAAATCGTTAACTAATATTGTGTTCACCTTAAAACATGAGTATTTACGCTTCTATCATGCATAATGTAATGTGATTTTAAGCTTAAATAAAACATCTAAACCCTAGGCATAATTCACAGAAACGAAAATATAAGCCTATTCATTGACAAAATGAGTTTTGTAGGTTTAAAAAACAAATCGAATTTGGTTAGATAACCAGTAAAAATTAGGGATCAAAAGACAAGTATTCCATTGTAATACAAAACTTCTCTTAGTTAAAAACAGTGACAAGTGGAGTTCAGTCAACTTGAGGATGTGATAAATATCCCCAATGGCAATCGATGAAAGCTGTGGAATATCACGGATTGATAGTAGGTACAAGTGTAAAGTATTTAATCCTAGTACAGTGATCTAAAAAAGATACGCTCACAGAAAGGACAGAAGATCCAGAACTTGATTCCTTGTGGATTAGTGAATGCGCACTTCTGTGGAGTACCTTTTTAGGTAGGCTAGTTGTCCAGTGTTTCCCAGTCATCAAAATTTCCCTAACTTATTCACATTATGGTGCGAATTACAAAATTCAACAATCTTCACGATCCTCTAGAGTAGAAAACAGTAATTGTTTTCAAGTAAATGAAAAAAATCTTTTCTTTCTTACACTCATACCTAGTTGATTGTTGAATAACTTGACGAAGAAACTCCAGTGTGTACTGAGCATTTCCAATTTCTTGTAATATATCGCCATCTTCAACGTTTTCTTCGAGTACAGACACAGCAGGACCAATATCTTCAACCTAAAAAATGGAAATATGTAAAACTTTTGTTCCAATACGTTAAATTTACCTGGTTTAATTATTTCAAGCACCCTAGACACATAAAATGCATTAAAACACTCCGGTATTTTACTATTATGTACATGAAGAAGAATCAAAATGCCTGTCGGATTACGTATAGTCAGTCATTCGGTATCATCATAGAACTTCGTACGTAAGTACATCAGTCCGAGTTGCCATACCGCATTAGCACACAGATACAATTGTCGACTCGAATCCCACAGTGGTAGAGGTAGTAAGAGTATAAGCAGTAACCGGAAAGATTAGGGTTCGAAGATTTTATTCAATGGGATTACGAATAAGTGGTTATTGTATTGTCTTCTTGATGCCCTATTGAATATTTAATGTTTCAGACTTGATGTATTCATTGCTTTACATATAAACTGTGAGCTTGTTTACAAATAATTCAAGATGATAATGGTGCGGATTAAAAAATTTGACTACGCAACATTTTGAATATATTGTCTTATAATTAATCTCGTTGAAGGATTAATATTGGTAATAGTGTGTGCTAACTGCGTCTGGAGCCCTTTTAGGGTTACTGTCCGTCCTAAGCTCAGGTAGAATAGAGGGGTTGGGCATAGGGTTACAAACCCTGTCCCGTAAAAAAGAACATAGGTAGGTAAACGCTAGCTAGGCTTAAGCGTTCGCGCGCCATACCGAAAGCCCTGGGTTTCGAATACCGCGAACGGGATCATGGATGTGCACTGCTGAGGACTCCCACAATAAGGCGAAACGGCCGTCCAGTGCTTCCAGGTTTTCAATGGTGGTCTGACATCAATTTGTTTATGATCTCAATCAAAGACTTAATAACCTCCACAACCCCATACTGATAACTAGAAAATAGTTTGTGCTGAACTTTTAGACGGAACAATAACACCTGACTATACAATACAGCGAATACCGTTTTTGATCGATGGAACGGATAACTTATAAGTTTTATTGGTATAAAAAGTACGTGAAGATAATTCCAGATAGCACAAAGTACTTTAACATCGAATGAAATCTCATAACTGTAAACATTATTAAATATTATAAATCATGATATTTCAATCGGTCATACAAAAACACGGTTAAATGGAAAAATATATTTTTATTATGAGTATATGAAATATTGTTTGATCTGAACTGTGATAAGATGGTGGGTGGAAGTAGTCAACAGGAAACCCTGGACCTAGGTTTCGTGCTATTTGGCACTCGTCAGCAAGGTATCTGTAATCTTAAGGGGACTAATGCTCCCTGACGGATTCGACCCCGTGTCACCCAGCTCCACATTTAAAGATATTACCAGCGAACTGTCTGGGCCGCGACTCACCTCCTGTAGGGCTTAGATGTATTTACAGTTGGTTGATCACTGGGATCTGACATACATGAGATTGATCATCACCCAGTGATCAATCAATCGTAAAAGATCTGAACTGTGGACAATAGACGATTCCTTACTATAACCAAAGTATTAACGTAAAATCTTGAAATGAACACGTATGGAACGACAAAGTAACTACTACATGTGTGCACAATAGACATGACGATGTCATAAAAGTTTTAAGGGGCTCAGATTTCTTTATACATTCTTCTTTCGCTTTGAAGTGATAAGTTTATTTGCCACTGGCAACACCCAACTGACACTGTATAAATTCAATTAGGCCAACTGTCTTTTGCAAAGCTGAGGACACGTGGAGAAAATGTAGTGTTTTTCGTGTTCTGGTACTGTAATGGCATCAGAGAGAGAGAGAGAGAGAGTAGAAATTATATAACTTGCTTCACTTAATGTAAAACAATCTCAAATCTCAGACCTTATATCATCACCAAATGAATTACAATAGACGGAATCAAAGATAATTAGAACTTCAAAGTTAACCTATTATAATTATACTAGGCGCTAAATTTCAAAAACGCTCATATATGAAGGAAGCCTAAAAAACAACTACATTTCTCCATATTGATATATTCTCATGTAATTCTGTTCCTTATAAGTCATTAAGCTATAGATTGTTTGGGGTTATAATTCTTTTCTTTGATTTTTAATCTCTATGAGCTGAATAAAGTGCCCATGAAGTAATCATATAAAACCTAATAGAGTATTTACAATTGATTAGCTTCAAAATGAATTGTTGAAGTTGTAGTTAGTAATCATGGTCGATCCAGTTCACTACGATGAGACGCTTCTAGCCGGTGGGTTTGTCTAAAAGTTGAATTATTTTACGAATTGAATATGGCTAGAATTTTGAATTCATGAACTTCTACTTATTATATTAATCATGATGAAATCACCATAAAAAGGTGAGTGTCACAATTCTAATCCAATTTAAGGTAATAACCAAGGATTGTTGAAGACATCTAAATGTAGTACTTTCTTATTGTTCTTCACTCAATTTCAGTTCGTGACAACAAGGATCTTGAAATGGAACTTTATAATAAGACAATTAAAGAAATGAAATGAACTATGTAGCATATAGATTAAGAGTACTTAGATCTATTCTATTTCCATACTGAATAGTCCGATGAAATTTAGTCAAATCATTATTTTCACTGGGATCTCACTGAAGACAATGGTGTACGGTGGCGCAACTTCGTGGATTGGTTGAAGTTAGACATTAACACCGTTGGATGCCGGCCGGCTCAGTGGTCTAGTGGTTAAGTGCTGGCGCGCGAAGCCAGTAGGTCCTAAGTTCGAGCCCCGCGTGGTGCGGGATCGTGGATGCGCACTGCTGAGGAGTTCCATACCAGGACGAAACGGCCGTCCAGTGCTTCCAGGTTTTCAATGGTGGTCTAGCTTCAAATGACTCATGATTTCAACCTGTGAATTTTCACTATTTATAAACAATACTTAATATAAAACTGTGAACTCAGTTTGTCAGATGTTTTATGTTGTGTTAGTGAAGTATTAATTCACAATAGTTGTCAAGGCTAAAACATACTTGAGTTTGTGAACAGCAGCTGCAATTCATCAGTTGTTACTATTGGTTCAAAATTTATCACTACTTATCACAAATGATGCTTTGTTTCATTCGATTCAATATACAAATTACTGTTTCTTTGAGTAAAACTCCGACAGATATATACATATATATACACAATCATCGTTATACTTCTGCCATCTAGAAAGAATTGAAAATTAGTCAACAATTAAGTACAGAATTAAAGAGTTAGCTTGAAAAAGTGGCAATGTGTTCAAACATGACATCGAATGATTTTAAATGATAAGTAAAATCAGATATGGAAAGTCAATCTAGTAGTAGATGATTGAGAAAGTCAATCGTTGATAATCAGAAATGACCTGAAGGACAAATGCACTTAATTGGCTAAAAAATTGGATTGATTTCTTAATTAGTACAGTTGTGTATATATAAATGAGTATTTGTGTATTTTATTTAATAATCCAATATACTTTCTCTCTCACTCTTGTGTTCTCATTCAAGTAGTGAGGTAGGAGGTTAGTATAGTAGTATATCGTGTATCAGTATTAGATTTCGGACACCACGCATCACAACAAACTCCCCCCCTCCTTATAATATTTGTGTTTGTTTCGTTTTTTTCAAAGCTTCATCAATAGTGTGTGCTTAATTTGAGAGAGTCTGATGAAAATGTCATGAAACTTTCAAGTAGATCATTTTAATAAGTAAGTAATTTGAATCCTTGAAATCTCTTCATCCTAAATCTAATTAATGAAAGACATAATTATAAGAAGTGTATCATTCAATCCATCTAAAGGGAAGACATTTAATAGTTATATATATGGTATACCTTAATGTAAACTTTCATTCATAGATTTAACTTAAAATATAATTAGGTACCATTCAAAAATCATAGCTGAAAGCTTAGTAGAAAAACATGTAGTTGGTGAATGAATTCCATATAACGTTTTCTTTTCAAATTCAAATAGCACTTTTATTCCCAAATTCATAATTTATTATGAAATAGGCTTCAGTTTGTACCCGTGTGGTGTATGCTACTACTGATGTCCATAAATATAAGTAGAATGTATCGTCAAACGAAAGTGAAATAGCTGGTGGCAAAAGGTTAAGAAGATTGAAGAGAAGAGAAAAAGACGAGGACAGACAGTGATTGATGTGGAAACAAACGAGCAATGAAGTCTGAGACGATTGATTTAATGTAAGGTTCTCTGGTTTTATTATGATTCTGTAATTTCATGTTAAAATATATTCGATTGTCCCCATTTAGTGTTCTTGTTCACTACACCAGTAAATAGTAAAATGTTATTTCATATCTTATTACTTACAATATCCTTGAGTGAAAATGTACTTAACCTTAGATATATCAGACAACACTTCATTTAACTAAGTATAAGGAACGACAAATTATTGTAAACAACATATCTACTAAAAATGGATACACTAAGAAAATAGAAAAATCATATATGAAGTGAGATACTTGAGACGATATTACTTTGCTTCCTTGTTCTCTGGTCTCGTTTCCTTTCTCTTCCTCGCTTGAGAATGAAAACATTAATGTTGTAAGTAAATTATATTGACTTAATATTATACTACATGTTTAGTCTTCCTGTAAGGTTAACACTTCAGACTTCATATCGGGAAAATACTTTGATTTGAATGCTCGATAGCTTTTAGGTGGTATCTGATGAAAAATATGAAAACGTCCTATAAATAGTTAGTGTTGTGAAATCCATTAGATTTTAGAATGTGGCCGTATCTTGGCTATACTTCAAACTGGTTACTACAATTGAGCAATTATAACAGTTTTCTACAACAAACCGAATGCGCCATAGATGTTTATTAGTCGTCTTGTAAACATTTTATCTCACACATTATTAATGGCTTTGTCTTAAGTACTCAGTTTGAAGTATTCTAGAAGTCATGTAATTTTAGGTGTAAGCCTGTTTCATCATTATTAAATACCAAGTCATATCAACCTGATCATATAAACAAAATTCTCTGCATACTTTTATATCCCGATGAGAATAATGAATGGTAACTGTTGGAATCTATTTCTGGACTAATATTATACGTATATTTTTATCTTATAGTTGTTAAGTAACTAAACTATTCATATTCATGTTCCTATTATTATAAGCTTTATTTTGACCTATGAACTATTATTATACCATTTACCATTCTTGAATTATGCCCAGTGTATCAATTTCTATCTCCCACATTCACAGCCACACTTGGCTTAATCTTGTACAAATGTTATTTTCTACTTTAAGGTGCGATGTAGTCTGTTCGGTTGGTTTATAAACCCAGTATGTTTGAAATACATAATTGATATCGCAGAGGCTGAGATTGGTGTTCTGCACTTAACAGGCAGGGCTAGGCGGGAAGTCTAGAATACTCGTACGGGTTTTGTGCGTCGTTGGTTCAGTCGGTAAATCACTGTTCTTTAATTGACGGTATCATTACGTTATACATTTATAAGGGCACGAACCCACAAGTTATAACACATCCAATACTCATTTCCAGAAATATATTATATTACTTAATCCGTGCAGTAAAACTTTATAACCTACATTCGCATTAATGAGTTAGAAAATAATAAAAAAATATGAATACTTTATGCGTGTTTGATAATATAACACGATAATGTAAGTTAATTTAATGACTGTATGATTACTGTTAATCAAAAACTTGGTAACGGTATATATAGTCTAGGCACCAGTCAATCAAAATCGATAAGGTTATTTTTAGATTTTTTGTATTTTTTTCTGGTTAGCGTTTTTTTAGTTAGTTAGTTTTCTACGGGATGGGGTCGCTAACCCCATGCCCAACCCTTCTCCCTTATCCGGGCTTGAGACCGGCAGTAGCCTAAGAGGGGCTCCAGGCGGGTCGGAAATTTGAAGAACTACGAAAGCCATCATCCAGAAGATAAAAGTGTTTATTAACAGTTGTCTAAGCGAAATATTTGGGATCCGTTGAACAGACACTATCAGCAATAACATACTGTAGGAGAGAACAAACCAGATCGCAGCGAAGGAAGAAACAAGGAAAAAGCTCTGGAAGTGGATAGCATATACATTGAAGAAGGCACCCAACTGTACCACAAGACAAGTTCTCACTTGGAATCCTCATGGTCAAAGGAAAAGAGGAAGACCAAAGAACACATTACGTCAAGAAATGGAGACAAATATGAGAAGAATGAACAAGAATGGAATGGAACTAGAAAAGAAGGCCCAGGACAGAGTGGGTTGGAGAATGCTGGTCGGCGGTGTATGCTCCATTGGGAGTAACAGGCGTAAGTAGGATTTTTTTTTCGAGAAATTCAAGTACCATTTTTTGACGTAAAGAACAGATGAGCCGACACTATCCATAAATTCTATCTCTAAACCCTTATATCTGATGAGACTATATGTTTTGGACAAACTGATTGGGCAATGGCTCTTGGATTTTTTTCTGCCAAGTTGATCTATATAGTTATACATAGTTTTCAAATTATAACTGATATCAGTTTGTGATAGAAATGTCAACTATTAACGCTTCTTATGCTGAAACACTATCTGTGATCACGAGTCATATAACAATTCTGGAAAATCTCTTTCGGTCCTTTTTTAAGATTTGAGAATACAAATAATCTTTGTCATTCAATGTGAATGTATATGTTATTATGCTTGTATTATACAGGTAGATTAACCTACAGAAAACTTTATTAGATTGATTTAATATGTAAAACTTGTTTTACACTTAGTTACATTATTGATTTCATTTATTTAAAGATGTTTAGTAGCTGACTAATAACCAAATCTAATCCCTATAATATTCACTTATCAAATACTTTTGAATCTTTAAAAAAATGAAATAATTAATTCATTTTTGTATTTCACTAGTTGAAATCATTAGTCAATTGAAGCTAGACCACCATGGAAAACCTGGAAGCACTGGACGGCCGCTTCGTCCTAGTATGGGACTCCTCAGCAGTTCGCAACCGCGATCACGCCCCCCACGGGATTCAAGCCCAGCACCTATCAGTCTTGCGTCAGGCACTTAACCAACTAAACCACTGAGCGGGCCGGCATCCAACGGTGTTAATGTCTAACTTCAACCAATCCACTAAGTTGCACCACAGTACACCATTGTCTTCAGTGAGTTACTATCTCACAACAGACCTGGTTGAACTCCACTGGTAACGGCTCCTCACTAGAACTCCAGGAGTTTTTCCTGAAGTCAGTCACTAGTGAACAGTTGATTATTATCAGAATGGGTTTTGTGGAGATTTTTAGAAATTTCACTGGTTGAAATCATGAGTCAATTGAAGCTAGACCACCATGGAAAACCTGGAAGCACTGGACGACCGTTTCGTCCTAGTCTCGGACTCCTCAGCAGTGCGCATCCACGACAAAATGGCTGTCCAGTGCTTCCAGGTTTTTCATGGTGGTCTAGCTTCAAGTGACTCATGATTTCAACCAGTGAAATTTCTAAAAATCTCCACAAAACACATTTTTGTATTGTTTATTTGAATTTTCCTATTGATATTTAGGACTGCAGTTGATCAGTCTCTTATTGACATATGTGCATCCTATGCGGATTGTATCAATATTGCCTTGAGTTACAAATATTATAAGCAAAGATAGATGGTGTTTAGCAGCCGAATTTAGGACTCGCGTTTCGTTCAATTCAGGACTCGTCAGCCGGATGTATCTACATCCAAGAGTTGACGTTCATTTCAGGATGCAATGGCGTTTGAAGCGAGCGTCACAACGTTCGAGTTCCGGAGTGAACATCAACCCTGGGCTCTAGGTAAATCCTACTGACGAGTTCTAAATTGAACGAAGTGTGCGTCCTGGATTCCACTTCTAGACATTATCTATCTTTGCTTATAAAGAATTAATTAGTTTCAAATTATCAAATCTCATCGGTTAAGTGATTTAGATTGTAAAATATTTATTGCCTGTTTATTGAAAATTGGAAATATTTCTAATTATGATCATAAAAGATCATTTTGTTGTTTATTTAATTTGGAAAACTTATCATTACACTCT